TCGTAACGCAGCAAATTTAATTTCGGACTTACCCTTGCACCTGGGTGTCACGCACGACCACGAAAAACTTCTGGAGAGGAAATTATTACCTCGAGAGCCATGGAGGCTAGGAAGCTGAGAGTTTACGGTGATATCCCCTGCCCACATCCGATCCAGCAAATTTAAATTCCACCTTCCCGCGCGACCGGTAGCACGGACTGCGCCTGGAACTTTTGGCGGAGAAAATTACTATCTTGGCAACTACGAAAGTCAGTAGGCCGAAATTTTAGGTAATGTCCGCTGCCACATGCAACCCCGCAAATTAAAATCCTGCATTTAAATCCGGCCGTCTCGCGCCCGAGTATTACATACGGTCCGTGAAGACTTTGACAGGGGAAATGATTACTCCGGGAACCACCACAGCTAGAAAGCTAAAATTTCGGGACAGAACACCTGCCCACAAATTCAAATCGGTTTTCACGCATGCCTGAGTTCCGACGTTCCTGTGGAAGTTTTTAAAAGAAAAATCACTATCTCGAAAACCAGAAGAGCTAGGAGGCTCAAAATTCCAGGACCTTTTCTGCCTATACAGGGGCCTTAAAAACTTAGATTTAGCTTCCAAGCATGCCAAAGACTCAAGTACGACAAAATGAGTTTTGGCGCGAACTTCACTTGAAAACCACGAAGTTAGGAGGTTGAAATGTTGGAAGAGTGCTCGCCGCCCAAGGTTTCAAGTTTAGCTTACACGTACGCTTACGTTCACGCACGTGAAATTTTTAACAGGAAACTTCGCAACTTAGGAACCAGACAACATATCAAATAATTCGGCACAGAGCAAAGCAGGGGAAATAATTAGCAAGCATGAATGAACGAAAACATTCGCAAGATCGGGCCCTCAACCTTCTGGAAGGGATTGGCAGCGGCATTTTTATACGCACATGTTCCAGCTGTGTATTAATATGCATATATGTATATACGTATTTCTGTTTGTATATATGCAAATATTCCTGTGTAAATCGATATCAGCCTATTTTCAAAATTTAATTGTACATCTCCATTTCTTTTTGTGTTGTTCGTCTGTTATTAGGCATGCGAAACAACTATTTTAGCGCCTATTCACAAACAAAAAAGTACAACAACAGTAAAACACTGAAAAGGTAATTTTGAGCAGAAAAAGTCATGCTGTTGTTGTTACTTTCAGTTTTACCGGCCTCAGTGAGATAAAGTCAGGCCTGATGTTGTCATAAACCTGCGTAATGTTATCGCTTTCCCGCAACATTTCGTACAGCTGCCGGACCTAAAAAAGTTCGTATGATAGTGTAAAACCCAACGATAAATAATGCCAATTAATAAAGATTATTTTCGTGCTTATATCGATTGCAAATGGGTCACCAAAATCAGACTTCGCTTGCACAGCCAAGCTGCTGGACAACTGAAGGCCAATTTTTCAATTAATGTCAATGTCAACGTCCAAAAAATTCAACTTTTCTATGAGCAACCATGATACCTTCGCGGAGTCATCTTCGGTAATCTCGACAGGTTGGGTTGCACGCAGTCCCAGTGCGGAGCTCCTGATATTAAAGCCTCGTTCAGTTAGTGCGTTTGTCACAGACGCCAATTTGTTGCGCGCGCATATCAGCTCGTAACAAGTTTGACCATCTTCTTCAAACTCGCTGACGTCATCGCAATCCATTTCTATGCACAATTCCTCCACCTAGAAGTAAAAATGTTCAACTGGCGACTAACCAGGCTTATTTTTTTTCCGGCACCAAACAACTCGGATTGGAAAGATGCCCCAACAAATGAGCAGTGTTCACGTTTGCTTCATCGCGATAAGAAAAAAAAATTGGCCAACGCACGAGCTGCCAGCGCGAAGATGCGTTTTTTGCATGGTTCTCCGAAGTTTTTGTTGCTACCGGCACCGGTTTTTTCGGCAAATACTTCTAACTAAACAAATTAAGGCTGAC